GGTGGGCCAGGGAATCAATTGATGTCATTGCAGTGCCTCTATCTGGGAGGTCCTAAGGTTCGAGTGCCGATGGTGGCAAGATTTCTTATACTAGCTAGATAGCTAGTTCGAATTAAGCCCCTGCCTTTAGGACAATTCTACCAGCCAGTTGCTCTGATCTGTAGTCTTCCAATCAACAGCAGGCGAATACCGGACCTGTACCTTAACAAACGAGCCACGGACCGTACAGTATTTTCCTTCCTCTTCCTTGTCCTTTACTCACCACTTACACACACACACACACACACACACACACACACACACACACACACACACACACCAGTGGCGTCTCCTGCTCAATGAGCAGGGGATTGGATCAGTTTTTATAAAGTAGGCCAATTAAGATATCTAATCGACATCGTACTATATCTGTTTGTATTTCATATTTCGATGTACATACTTACTGTACCGTCTTTGAAAAATTTTAAGAATTGCTAATTTTGTATTATTTGCTCTGTCAGTAATAAAATAATATAAAAAAGAAAATTGATATACGAACAGTACACCTAATGTTTAATTAGAGGTTATTTGCCGTCATCTTCTAGCGTACTTGAGAATTTAATAGTTTTTGAAACCTTTCAAAGGACATTTTGTGTTTACACTCGTTTCCTTCCATGTGTAATCATCCTCTTCTTCAAACCATGTGCTTACTATGTGGCATCTTTTCACATGAAAATTGTTGGTTTCTTATTATCGTGTTAGTTTCAAAACCATGATATTTCTTTGAGTAAGACATGCTTCCTTATAACGCAGTTTCAAGAAAAACTCAGCACTTTCGCAACAACCCACGGTGCATGTGAAAAACGTGTCAACAAAGAATTAACAGTCGCGTGCGATTGTTTGTCACTACTGACAACCCAACTCTCCTAAATCACGTACTGGATCAGGACAGTTGGCAAACATTAGTACGCATGCCTGTGTACTAGTAGTAGTGTGGTCCAAATGACTTCCTCCAACCCGCTATGGAGTCCTAGTCGTTAGCATGTGACAACTGGGGTTCCCACTCCTACTGAAAAAAGAGTGGTGCTCGAAGAGACGATGGCGAAGCATTGGAGGGAGGATACAGAGCGCCAAGGAGACGTCCGAGATGCGACAGCCAGCTGTGGCGTCTTGCCGGGACAATAAATTACAGACGTGAACGGTTTGTAAATATTTAGTATTTATTAGAAATAAAATAATCCGACACCATAATAATATATTTACAATATTTACAAATAAATTGACGTTACAAAAAGAACTTTCCTGGTTACCACCACCGCTGGCCGATAATTAATTACCATGTTCGGTGTGATGCACCCAGTACCTTACGCGAGTATACCAGCGAGTATGCCGACCTACCGTCACGACGTAGCACGCCGGCTTCGTTCCCGCCTCGGCGCCTATGCATTACAATGCAACGCCGCACAAACCCACACGACCTTACCGACACGCCCAAGAATCAGATGAAACAGAAAGATCTAGCTAGTCGGATCCGCTTATATACTTCTGGGCAGGCGACGGAACTGCGTCACCGCAGTGTCCCCGACGCGTTTCCGCCGGGCCGGGTCTCCCCGTTGCTCCACGAAACCCCCCCCCCCTTCCCTTGTTCCCTGCCTTTGTGCAAGCCAGCGTCTCTTCCGCCAGCGCTGTCCACGTGGCTAATATAGTACGTTTGTACTGGCGACAGATACGACGCCACACAGCGTCGCATCACCGTTGACTGAAAGCTCGCATCTTCCATACAGCACATGGTGAGAGTTCAATGACCTTGGTAACGAAGCGAAGCCATCAAAAGGATGTTTTTCAGCCTGTCATTTCCACAGTCATAGACGCCTACAGGTGCATGGGTAAAAACAAAAAGTACAACTGAACAAGAAAGTTTACTTGCACTACACTACATGCACTACACTAACGCACATGTCGGGAGCTTAGAGTTTGTTCCGGATGAGGCGGTGCCCCGCCGCTGAGAGATACCTTGTTGGGGAAACCCCGAGGCTGACGCGTAGGGTAGCTCCTGATGTCGTCATCTAGCGGCGAAGATCAGTGCCACTTCTCGCGAATAAAAGCAAGATATACTACATATGCGAAACTAATTACCTTAGCATTTGGCGCGCCTAGAATCGCTAATAAATCAATAATTTACAAATAGCGCCTCTTAAACAGTTTTCGAAGTGAATGACGATTTTTTCAGTTAATAGGCCTAATTAAAAGTATTAAGAAGTGAGAACCATTTTCTAGCCAAAAGTGAATTACTCATGAGTCGATAACAGTTTCAACTGACAGACAATATCCAGTTTTCATGAACGTTGGCTTATTATTTATTAAGAATTCCTCTTTTAGTCGAAACATATTTTTGTATGTTATGCAGTATATATGAGCATCTTGAATATTTGTTGTCATGAACGCCTTTCTACTCAGAAGTCCCCTACTTTTGCATTTATGGCTTATAACCAACCGTGGTAACATGCCCATTAGTACTCCGCTCCGGTTATCGCCACCTGTTGACCCCGTCTCGTTTTTTCAGCGCGCCGTTGCAGCGCCTTCGTCGCCCTCCTTGCTTTTTTTCCGCCTACACTACAAGACAGCGCGCTGAAATCTCCTGTGCAAATCACCAATCTTGTCTTCTTTGTTGGTCATTTTCCGGTAATGCATCCTTCGGTCAACTTTTCCTAAGCTACTTACTCACCTCCCCAAAAAGACATAACCGACTACATCCTGTTCCGTTTCCCACCTTAGCCTAAGAAGTGATTTCTACGTTTACCGTTGTCTGCTTAGGACGCACAAAATGATCCTTTACAATTGACCTACTTCTGTTTTTAAGAAGCATTTGCACCCCCTTTTAGAGCATCGCCAACTTTTAAATCACACTTAAAAGTTGTTGGAAACAAAAATTGAGACCTGCCACGAGAATCTTCTTGCCCCGCTGACTTAACATACCCATTTCCGAAGATTCTGCCATGTTACTCTGGCTTTGAGGTTTTCTCTGGACTGGTGCGGATCTATTATCTACTCATGAATGGATACTTATCAAAAAATGTTGCTCTTTCTGAAACATCGGAAGAACGAAACGGGATGCAGTTGATTGCGGCGGATTGCAGTTCCCTGCACATAAACTCTTTCCCCTTAGGGGAATGGTGCTGGTGCATACCACAAACGGGAAAGATAATGGGTGAGGCAGAGATTTCTCGCTACCCCAGACTCTCTGTTCGGGGAGATGAGTTGGGAAGGGTGGCAAAAACGAGAGGGATTGACAGTTCATGTTATAATCAGCCAAATAGTTACTTCTTTTCATTGATGTTATTCTTGTTATTGTTGTTTTTTTAGTGTTATATCGCTGACGATATGTTGAATATTAAGTTCTGAAAACTGTCATATGACTCATCCGGAGAATAATGAAATATCGATTAATATGTACATGAGTATTATAATAAGTGATTTACTTTTCTCTTCCATGACACAATTACATTATGAAAAAGCCTTACACATTAGAATTTTTTAAAAATTTAAAATTTAGAAATAATGCAAGAAAGTATGTGTGTTGTAGCTCCACTAGTTTACCATGTTTTCATGTTTGCGTAAGTACTAGAATCTTCATTATCAATTTCCCAAATTAACTTAATATTTCTCACCGTTCCTCTTTGATTCTATCGTCTCTTCCAATAATCCCTTTCGTTTATTATGCTATGTCCTTTGTCTGTGGACTTATACTGAAGTATTTGGCAAGATGGCCAGTGTAGCTGCCTGCGATTACACCAAAACTGCGGTTCTCTTCAAGATGTCTTCAACAGAACTCGCAATTTTTCCCCCGCTCTCTCCCAATCTGACACTTTTTTTCCAATGTCACTGTCTATCTCCCTGTCAATCGTACTGGTTGTCAATATTTGTTGTATCTATTTTCTACAAATCACTTTTTCCTTTTAGTAACTGGGCAGGGCACTCCACAACATAAATGGAAATTATGACGAATTTAAGGAGCATTTAAAACTGCAATTCGCATTAACTATAGAATAATTTCAAGTTATAAAAACTTCGTCAGTTCAAGAAGAGGTCAATGAAAAAGCAATTCCAATTTAAATGGTATTTTAGTTATTTGATAAACATTTATGTGACATTCACTGTAACCATTAAAAAACGTTTCACGCGCAGTTTTTTTATCTAAACATAGTTTACATGGATATAGGATCACGAGTAACGAATTTAAATTTCTTTTCTCATCGATATGCAAACGATCCATACATAACTAATTTAATTGCAGACTTAGCTGGGTAAATATTGAATAATTTTGCGAGCATTTTATTCGATTTTATGCATTCTCCTATTAACATACCGCCTTTTAACATTAATAATGATTATCAGTTCCTATCAGAAGCGTGTGAACGCCACATATTCGCTGTTATAAATAGGCGTGACTCTGTATTGAGCACTTCGAACAGGCTACTTTTCCGGAGATGAGGCGTTTCACTACAACTCGCGTGCGCCGAAGAGCTGATGAAGATGTGGTCGGAAATAACCAGTTCAGTTTTAATCCACATTTCAAAACAAATACATTTTTTAATGAATGAGGACCTGTACCGAGCGGGGCACTAAGCAAGTGATTGAACCCATCGCTGGTCGTGACGTCCGCGTTGCTCGCCACCGCCACCGTCTCCACTCTCTCCGGCGCAGGCGCAGGCGGGGGTCGCCCACCGTCTCGGCCCTTTCTCCTGCCACCGGGCCGCCGCCGCAACCGCCTCCCCACTCAAACTCGCTCTCGACGTGAGTGAGCACGCGCGCGTCCTCGCGTCCTCCCGGGCCGTCCGTGCGGTATGGTCAAGGCTGCCGCCATGACGTCAGCGTGACGGGGCCCCATCTTCTTCTCTTCGAGTTTCGCGCGCGCTCACCGGGGCGCCTCCGTGTCCTTGCGTTCGCCCGGAGGCGGGGGCGGAGTGTTATCAGCGGCGCGGGCCGGTGCGGCGGCGCGCCCGACCAGTGAGTCTAGTGTATGCGACGGCGGTGGCCACGAAGCGGCGACGGAGTTCGCTCGTGAGGTTTTTACATGCACCACTCCGCGATGCCGACGGTGTCGGCGCTGTTCTCTGGGCCCGTGTCGGTGGGGCTGCTGGCCGGCGTGGTATCCGGCCTCTTCTACCTCGTGGTGGCCGGCATACGGTGGGCAGGGTGAGTGCTTGGCGCTGCTGCTGATGCTACTGTTCTTTGCTTTTCGTGTGGGAATGAAAGTTTTGTTTGGAGGGAAAGAGACGACGGTTAAGTGAGTGACTGTGTGGATAAAAAGAAAGGACTAGTGTTTAGAATTGTAACTACAATTAGTATTGCGTAAATGGGTTAATTGGACAGAGAAAACAGGTAGTGCTGTTTTAGTGGCATGCTATGTAAACGCGTATTACATGATGTTTATCGATGACATCTCAACAATACGAAGTCTAAATATGGCAAGATCCTTTAAAGTCCTCTGAAATTCGATGTGACGTAGTTTGCCACAGATGGGTTAAAGCTCGATATCAAATGGTTAAATATTTGTAATTGAACGAAATTTGACAAGAAATTGTCCTAAATTACATTCGTTCACCGCGAATTACCAATAAATGCTTGCAAATCCTTGCAATGCAGGAGACCTTTCGTCTTAATGAGGCGTAAGAACCTATTGTTATCGTCATTGCTGCTGGGAGGATTCGATTGAAACTGCGCTAGTTGGTGCTTCTTTACTTGCAGCTTCATTATGTTGGCTCTCAGAGAGACTGAATTGTCAAGTGTACTCTAAATACATTGTGGATTTGATTCTATCTCCTAAAATCTTTTAATCATGTGATGGTGTAAGTTAGAGTTAATGTCAATGTTAGATGTTATATTTCGATAAATGATAGAAAAACCATCAAAAGTGATGACGTAAATGCGTTTTATTCATTCTTCAAGAAACACAGTATTATCACCCACCAATGAAATGTCGCCAAAGGTAAATGATAGTATGCATCTCACCCGGTGACAAAAGGCTTCATATGTTATTTTCAAGTCGTTAATGTTTATTTTCAATGCTTGCATTCAGAGGCGATTGGATTGTCCTTGGTACCCATCAACCAAATGCATCACGGTATTGCAATGAATCGCAAGATCATTGAATTTTCTCATATACAGTTCGGGTTGCCTGGACGAGCAAGTTCCATGAATAGTACTCGTTAAAGAATTATTCACTAAGTTAATATCACTATGTAATTACATAATTTCGCTAAAATGGTGTAACGTAAAATATTAGCAATGCGGGCATTGTCACGTCAGTTACTTAACACATTGCATCGAACGCCCTTATCCTGCAACACTTACATCAGCAGTTCACAGAAAGAAGACACGCATTTTAAATGTACTCAATTGTTATTTGCACTCATTGTTTTTAAAACTTACATTTCCGGGATTAGTATCTTCCATATTATCCATAACTGTGGCGAAGTGGTAGTTCGTTGTTTCATACTGTCATTGTCTTTATTTGTAAGTAGGCACCTACTTTCACTTGCCATGTGTTTCTATGCCATCTTGCTGAGAAAAGTATTGGAGCTGTGTGAGTAGTGTATTGTAACCTCCTCGACCTTTTCACGGCTTGACTGAGCTCTCTCTCTATCTCTCTCTCTCTCTCTCTCTCTCTCTCTCTCTCTCTCTCTCTCTCTCTCTCTCTCTCTCTCTCGTTGAATTGCGTCTTTCTCGACAGGTTGATTTTGTTAGTTTCTCGAAGCTGATCTGAATCAACTATCGTGTTGCACTTGGAAACGCAATCGTACTTCGTTCTAGAGCCCTCGAATAACGAGAGCGAGAGACCACGATGAATGAGATACCTAGCCGTATTACTATGGAGAGTTGGCACTAAAAAGGAAAGTAGTAAAATTAAGATGTCTATAATCTCATCGGATAATTGTCTATTTCTTATCAAGCTTCCACCATGGAACTTACTTTCAGTGCAGCTGAAACCATTAGAAATTTGATCTAGAACTTAACATTTAAATGCCTGATTACTTGAAGCAAATATTTTTTAAATAAAATTGTTTTTTGTTCACGACAACAAATTTATTGACATAGTGACCACTCGAATAACGCTTTTATTTCTTGAAAAATAAAATATTATTCGTTTCGTAGAGAGATCTAGAATATTTTCTTATGTCGTTGTAGGTGTTGGATGTGGTATCTTTCAGAAAAAATAATATGAGAAACGAATAAATCCTTTTGGCTGTTTAAACCTTTTTATTCAAACTTTAATACTTGTAAAATTCAACTTTTATTTGATAAATTTAAATTTTCAATTTTCTTTAAATAAAAGACAATAACTTTCATATTCTTCATCTTTGTACATGCACCATAAAGTGTCTGATAGTTCGTGGAATTACCTCATTCAGATAAGGAGTACACGCGCTTCAGTGGTGACGGACTGCTTCTGTGTTTACCACACCGTGTCGTAAGACCGACTTCACCGTGGGGTAACGTCTAGAAAAAGTGGAGACGCATGTCGTATGCTGACGCATTGCGTTTTTAAGTCAAAGAATAAACCGGTCAAATAAAAACCATAAAAGATCTGATACATTACTTGGAGGCACAATGCATGCACACTGCTACAAATGTATTTAGGCTAATATGTCTGTAAAATCGCAATTATAATTTACTCACGTCTATATCATTTGGACTTGTGGGAAACAATTAACTGTTCCAGTTCAGTAACATGCTTTAAGCTCAAAGTAGATACTCCGAAATTAATTTACGGAAAGTGTGGCTTATGAAAGAACGTTCTGTTATCAAATTTTTATTGATTCAGAAAAACGAGTTTGTAAGCCATATATTTTATTACAATACGTTTCACTTTCAAATAACGTGAATTGATGTATGGAATGTAGATTCAATATTACAACAGAAGAGAAGAGCTTTTAAAAGGTATTTCATTTTGTCTTTTCATATTTCTTCTCGTAGAAATGTGAAAAATTGTAATGATTATAAAGACTAGTTAACATTGAATTTTGTTTTCTTGTTTTTCAATTTCCGAACCCATCTTGTAGATAAGTGAATAGGTAAACTGTCAGAAATTTAATGCCGCTTAATGTACGACTGTACATTAATTTAATGTACTTTGTAAATTAAACGGATATTAATGTATTTGTACATTAAAGTTAATACTTAAATTAAAACCAATGTAGACTTAATGCACGACTGTACAGGAAACGTTGTGTACCTTTTACATTAAAACGAGATTAATGTCTTTTCACTTTAAATTTAATGTTTAAATTAAAATTCACGCAGGTTTGATAAATAATTATGAAACAGTTAATGTTTAAAAACTTAGAAATATTTTATTCCACTATTTCAACTAACGTATAATAAATTAAAGATATAACTTTATTTGTGCATTATATCTGATTCTGTACAATAATTCATCATTTTTTCCACAAAAACATTTATTTTAATATTGTATTTGAACATTCTCTATTGTCTGTTTTGCTGCGTTTTTGCAACGTTTGCTTTTTTTTTCTTTTGTCCCCTCCACGGCACTGACTTGACTCAAAGTGTCCGTGGCGCTCGGGCCCATTGGGAGGCGTGGCAGGTGGGGCGCGGCGTCGCGTTCCCCGCGCGGCCCTCGGCCGAAGGCGAGTCTTCCCCCTCGCGCTCAGCTACCTCCGCTCGTTCGCACAAGGCAGCAAGCGTGTCGTGAGGCAGCGCGCGGAAAGAGAAGGCGACGCGCTTCGGACCTTTCCGGAGGTGGGACCGATGCGCGGCACTGTTCGCCTCACGGCCGGTGTCACGCAGGATGCGCGGCGCCTTCGGACCCAGAGCCCTTTTGAGCGTCGTCACTGACCGCCTTTGGAGCTCCGGCAAGAATTGCAACGTTTGCCTGACATGGGGTCTCGTCTGTCTTTATTTTGGGAGCAGCTTAGGAAATTCCGAACCCTTCCGGTCCCTTGCAGGCAAGACGGGTTTCCCAGCCTGCCTATTTCAGGTACCTAAGTGTTGGGAATTCATTCGTATTATGAAGCTCTTGTAATCGTGTTCTTACGTGTTAGAGTAATAGTAGACATTTCTAAAACATTTGCAAAATCAAAGAGACATCATAACATTCTGATATGAAAGCGTGTCAAACTTATGAATGCTATTCTTCAACTTCCTGTCCTCATCATAGCCGTTTTTTAGAGCAACTGGCATTTAACATCGAGAGAAGCTGAAGCAATTCAGGCATATTGGATTTTTCAAGGTAAAGTCTGATGAATATTAATAAGTTTTTTTATTTAATATTATTTTCATTATTAACATTATTTAATACTATTTTCATGAAATGTGAAATTTGCTAATCTCCACCTATTTGAGGATATGAGCTGCAAATTGCAAGTGACTGTCGAAATATAAGAATGGACCAAACAATATAAGACAGTGAACTGTAGTTTAGGAAATGAGTGTAGCATAGTAAGTCTAAAGTAAGTAACTGTAATCCTGGAACAAAAAGTTCTACTATTTTGTAAAGATGTTATTGAAGGTTGATAATACGTTTATCAGCTATTACGTTTTTTGGATATAACTACTCTGCAAAATTAGAAACAACCCTCGAATTAAACTAAAATAAAAATAATATTTCATTAAATAACGTATTACTATCGATAGAACTTTGAGATAAAATTGTTACATTATATCCTTAAGAAATTTTAATAAATAGGCAATTGGTCTCAGTTTTAAGTAATAGTAAAATTGCATTAAAGAATACATTGTCAAAATGGGTATTGTTAAATAGAGAATGGACTACATCCCTATGAACCAAATAGTTTTTCTGATTTAGATATTTCTAGAATGACCAAAGAAAGGTAACATTATATAATTATAATATTGCCATCTAGTAATAATATTACTAATAGTTTGTTTCACACTAAATCGATTTTTTATCATTTTCTTATTTTATTGTGTATCTAAGCTAATCCATTGCTACTATAAATTATTTTTATTGTTATTTGTTTAACTGTGTAAAAAGGTAATGCTGAATAAATATTATTTATTAATAATAAAATTATTTCTTTCAGGGAAACTCAATAAATAAATCGTACAGAAAGAAATAAAAGCCCTCAAAAAGTTGGTGGAAAAGATTGATTCTACAGTTTTTAAATTAGCCGCAAATATGGACAATACAACGAAGTTTTCATTGTAATAAGTTG